GTCTCAAAACTGTGCTGGTGTTGCCAGACATTTCTTCTTTGCGTGCGTTTTTTATACGTCGCCTTTCGATTTTGTTTCTGAAAAATTGTAATTATTTAACTTAATTACCAATTCTAATATTTGTTATTTCTTTTCCTTGATTTGTTTCTTTTCATCAGAAATTGCGCTCAAATTAAATGCAAATACAGAAGATTTTGCGACGACTGCTAGAAAGGGGTGCTCACAGTTTGATGCTAAAGATGTCTCAAAATGTAGACGTCTACATTTTCAGACACAATTTGGAACGAACTGTGAACACCCTAAGTATTCTTATGGACGCTCACACACATATGTCAAAACTTGCCGTTCACATGCGAATGCTTTGCGTACGCACACTGTTGAGTGTGAGCTCGAAAAAAAAGGCATATAATGCATTTCAATTAGTTTTTATTCTATAATTCTGAGAGATATTTTAATTCTCTATCTTTTCATCTCTCAACTAAAGCAAAATGTGTACTAATAACGAAGATATTGGTCAAAATAAAAAGCTCACGCTCGCATTGACCTGCATATCAGGGCTCGAATCGTCACATACGATATCGTCACGTAAAAACACAATTTTCGGATTATGACACACGCGAACGTACTCTTTGTCCCACTCAGCTTATACTGCCTGTGGTATCACGTAATTTTCTTTTGAATCGTTTTCAATCTGTGAACGGATGTTACGATTCGAGGCCTGGCTTAACTTGCTTCTTGCTCGACCATGAAACAGTACACCCATAAACTTGGAATATGAAACCACTTACGGATTTGCGATCTGTTGCATCGCTTTCCCAATCTGCATCCACAAATCCGATAAGAGGTTTATCTGAAGTTTCCTTGAAGACTATTTTTTTCCTTTTTTTTCCTTTAAGATACATATCTTAAAATCCTTTTAAGACATTGCCAGAGCAATAAGTAGAAAAGAGGCTTTCTAGCACTGCTGGTAAAATCCCCATGTGTGAAATGAACTGGTCAGGTTTTTCATATTACCCCAAAATTTCTGATGAGGAAATTGCAGCATTATTGCATCAGCACTGACCGTCAGATGACTGGTCATTTGCCAGTAAGATTTCTTGTAGGGACATCAGTAGTATAAATATTAGGTGCAATCCCGTATTTCAGACTTCTACTAAGGGCCGGTTGCTCAAAGCCTGGTTGACACTAATCCCCGATTAAACATCGTTTTCGACGTTACCGACACCGTGTTATATATATGGAGTCGAAAACGTCGATAACGATGTTAACCCGTGATTAGTGTCAACCAGGATTTGAGCAATCGGCCCTAACAGTGGCTACACACGACGAACATATCCGCGCACATGCTTGCGGGTCATGTTCGTCGTTTGTAGGGCGGTTTGCGAGCATGCTCGCCAAAAATCAAAAAATTTTGATTTTCAGCGAGCATGCTCGTCGTTTGTAGCGTGGTTTGCGAGCATCGCATTGGAAACAAAAACAACAACCACATTTTGTGTTGATGCTTGAAGTGTGCACATCGGCGGATAAATGCATCCAAGCCATATGTGTTAATTGAATTTTTGATAAATGAGGCTAATTTACTATAAGTATATGTATGTATGTACATACATACAAGTAAAATATAAATAAATTTAAGTAACATATACATAAAAAAGCTAAGTTAAAAGCATTGCAATTGCATCATCCGCGTCTTTGCTAATCATCTTTACGCTACCACGACAAAATCACATATGAGCCGCTCGCCGTCTGTAGCAAACGACAGCGAGCATGTTGGTGCATATGTGCGCGCAGATGTTCGTCGTGTGTAGCCAGTTTAAGTAGTTTCGACTTAGTTTATACCATGTTCTGACCGACAACGAAAACACTTTGAAAACGAGTTTTGGGATTGTGGGCTGAAAGCTGTTCACACCGGTTGTTAGTGTTTTCGTTGACCTTTCTTACATCTCTTGATTGCTGTTTGCTACACAAAAACAAAGCCGAAACACTTTTCCTTCATTTTCTTTTCATTCACAACCTTTAACTTTCATTCTTATTTTGCTTTGGCTAGGCAATTTACAATGAATCCGAAATGGCGTATTAAAGATGATAAAATATGACTTCCACTTTGATAAATAATCGAAAAAAAAACTATTGAAGACACCGATTGGAATGAATGGAACGTGAGTTTTCAAGTAGTTTTCAGCGAAAACTTGTTTTTATTTGACAGATTTTCCATAGACGAAAACAAGTTTTAGGTCGAAAACCAGTTTTAGCAACGAAAACATGTCTTCGATGTCGGTCAGAACATGGTGTTACGATATAGCAAACCGAGTGTGAAAATGTATCGATTTTTCTTTACGATATTTTGGAAAAATTACATTTTTATGAAATAATGTCATTTTGATCATCCGTTTATGTAATTTTTATTTTCATTGCATGATTATGCAAAAGAATAAGGTATCATTTTCTTGTTAATTGTGTGAAATAGCCAAAACATCCGCAGTGATGTGAAGTCGATGTTTATCGAAAGCATACTGTGAAACATACAAATAGTAGATATCTAAATGTTATGCACAAATTTACTTTAAGGGCCGGTTGTTCAATGTCTGATTAACACTAATCGGAGGTAGAAGCTCTGGTTAAGTACAACGACTGCTTTATCGTATTTCTTGAGGAAAGAGTGAGGCAACAGGCTGTGAGGTATCAAAAATGTCAAAATTCCTTGGACACACGCGTGAAATAATGGCAATTTTTTCTTGACCGTTTTCTTGAGAGCTGCATACAGGGCTTTAATTTGATAAAATACTTCTTCCTAGTTACGACTTAAGGGCCATTCACATACAACTTTTCTCGCTTTGCCTGACAGTTCAAACTTTGACAACAAAGCGTGAAACACAGAAGGTATGCTACAATAAACGCTTTGACAGCTTTTGCGTTCTCCTTTTCCGCCATATTTTTTATCTGTAAAATAGATAGCAATATAATAATATGCATTAATAATAGCAATAAAAATTCCTATTTATCCTATCTTTGTAAATTTTAATTGGAGATTATTCAATATTNGTAAAGTGACCGTGTAAACTGGCTCTTACTTAATCAAAACTATCGCTATTGTCGACACTTTCGATATTATCGACTATCGGAAATATCGATGGCCCCGATATGTATACATAACTATAATTGAAACAATTTTAACTTAAATAAAACAAAATATTCATTAGCGTAATCTACCCTCTCCAATGGAGACTGATAGTGAGTTTTTAAACTTAAGCGGTCAATCGTGTCGCAGCTGTTTGGAAAATCACGAGGACACAAACTCCCTCGATGATGAAGTGGAATATGGAGACGAAAAATACCATTTAAGGACTTTGTATACGCAACTCTTGCGCGCTAGTAACATACAAGTAAGTAATATAAAACCATATTATTCTTTTATATTTAACAAATCATTCCTTCAGTTGCTGGCTCCAAATCAAGGCCCAGAAGATTTGTTACCAGCCAGCATGTGTGGCAATTGTACGCATAAGCTTTTTAGTGCTTATGATTTCATATGCACCGCAGAACGTTCCGAACTGATGCTAAAGCAATATCAGGAATCGCAAGATAGCAGAGATAAAGGGCTAAAATTATTTGTTAAAGCCGAGGTTGAGTACCCGGACGAGGATAACCAAAATGTCGAAGGTTTTGACACAGAGTACCTTTTAGAGGAGTGCATTGAGGAAAAAGAATTTATAGGTGTATCCGAAGATTTAACGGATTATGAACTCGTGGAAGCTAGTGAAGACAATACTTGTGGAGAAAATGTCAATGTGCGTAATAATGTTGTGTGCGTAAATCTGCAAAAGAGCGAAAACGAAGTCGAACAGATAAAAGAAAAGAGGTACCTACATACACATGATTCAATAATAATTAATTATTGAATCATAGTAAAAGCTATTTTCAATTAAAATCTTTTTCTTTATTAATAGTTCGGAAGAAAACTTCGAATTCGTTGATATTGTTAAAAAGAAGCCAAATCGGTACGCAATCGGATCACGGCTGGGAACATTTGTAACAGAAAACTGGTCAAAGTGCCCCCATTGTCAACGTGTATTTGCTAGAAATATAACTTTAGAAAAGCATATAAAAGCCGCGCATATAAATGTGCCACCCGAACATATTGCCGCGGTGGCGCCTAAGCCGACTGAAGATAAACCAATACAATGCGATCATTGTCCACGGACTTTCGCGCGCCAATTCGCTTTAAAACGGCACATACGAGCGATGCATCCGGATGTTGTATTGGAAGACGATGAACGTGATGGCGGTGCAGAAAATACCAAAACGAAAAAGCCTTACAAACGTGGAATTTGTCCACATTGTGGACGAAGCTTCGCCCAAGCCAGCCTAATAATACATATACGTCGCCATACAGGAGAAAAGCCGTATAAATGTGATGAATGTCAAAAGGGATTTCCACGTAGGCAAGATTTAGTTGTTCATAATAGACAGCATACAGGTGAAAGACCCCACCTTTGTACAATTTGTGGCAAATCATTTATACGCCCAAATAAATTATCCCGGCATATGCGCATTCATACTGGACTTCGACCTTATAAATGTTCCGAATGCGATAAATCGTTCACTCAGTCTAATGATTTGCGCATCCACATGCGCCGACATACCGGCGAAAAGCCTTACAAATGTAATGTGTGTTCCGAGGCCTTCATAAGTGGTACCGCACTGAAAACGCATCGGGTGACAAATAATCATGCTGCTCCGGCTGATGCCCAAAATGATCCGTATGCTAAGTGCAGATTGAATAATGCATTTTAACTCGATTCTAAGGAGAGTGGAAACAAAGTTCACAGTTCTTTCACATACACCGATTAATGTGTATGGATACGCAAATGATGTTCGTTGGCAAACATCGTTACTTTCATATAGAAAGTTCCTAATGAGCATTGCAACGCACATTAGTATTAAGAGAGTAATGGGTCGATTATACAATGCAACCGGAAGTCAGTTGCGGTGCCAGTGGCTTAAATTGTGTTACAGATTATACTTGCAACTCGAAGCTTGACAAAACCGCGTTTATGTGCATGCCGAGCAAATTTTTATTGAGAAAGTTTATTTTTAAACTGTTTCTGCAACTTAACGCCATAGACGGTACATCTGACTCGCGAGTCATCTCTGTACGAGTTGACTCGCCTTTCGACCACACAAAGTCGCGTCAATTAGAGTCGTGTTTGTGTAACTATTAAGCGGCATACACGGTGCGTCTAACTCGCGAGTCATTTGTGTACGTGTCGACTAGCCTTCGACTACATACGGTTGGTGTAACTGACACATATTTATTTTCACGAAGACATCCAAACCGACTCACGAGTCAGACGTACTGTGTATGCCGCCTCTAAAACATATTTATTTTCAGTAGCATATTTAAACCGACTCGCGATGCAGACGCATCGTGTTTGCCGCATATAACTACATAATAGGCGGCATACACCGTGCGTCTGACTCGTGAGTCGGTTTGGATATGTTTGTGAAAATAACTGTGTGTTAGTTACACCGACATGACGCCTGGCATGACTGAATGATTCAACTTTGTGTAGTCGAAGATGAGTCAACACGTATACAAATAACTCGCGAGTCAGACGCACTGTGTATGTCGCCTATAACACATATTTGTTGTGTTCCAGCAGCAGTAAGATTTGCAGGTTTCGCNACAAATAACACATATTTGTTGTGTTCCAGCAGCAGTAAGATTTGCAGGTTTCGCAGGATTTTACAGGAAAAGCTGTTTCGCCATTAATGTGCCTTATGTAAGGCGTCGTAGGGGAACAGGTTCCTGTAAAATCCTGGAAATTCCTGCAAATCGTACTGCTGCTATTTATTTTCATTAGCACATTCAAACCGACTCGCGCGAGTCACGTACCGTGTATGCCGATTATTACATTCAAGTCTTGATTGCTGGTATTTTAAAACTATTAATATACATTTTCATTTCAATTTCTAACTGAGGTTGCCTTGATGTACATACATAATCGACCCATAATTTAATTAATCATGCGTATTTTTTTATGGTTCTATCCACATTTGAAGACATAATGCAATTTATGCATTTTACATACTAAATATATCTTAAAATTAAATCTGGCCCTTTTTTGTAGGTATTTACAAGTCTTGAACTATTTGGATATATTTTACAATGTTTTAAAGGATATTTGTCATCTATTTACCAATATGCTGGTTCTACGATGTTGACTCGCCATCGACAGTTGAATCATTCAGAGTCATGCAGGAGTCATGTCGGTGTAACTAACACATATTTATTTTCACAAGCACATCCAAACTGACTCGCGATTCAGACGCACCGTGCATGGAGCCTATTAAGCGTACCAACTATTGACAAGTTTTAACAATTTATCTTTTGTTATTTAATATTGTTATTTTTATAAAAATATAGTTTATTCTTTAACAAAAACCGAACAAGTCCAAGTTTCAAACTACAAAATTTAAAAAATTCAACAAATGTTCGTAAAAATGTTGAGCTTTTTAATTAGATTTCTTATAGGTGGCATACACGGTGCGTCTGACTCGCAAGTCATCTGTGTACGTGTTGACTCGCCTTCGACTACACACAGTTGAATCAGTCAGTCGGTGTAAAGTGTAACTACCCTGCAGTACGGGGCAGTGACTACAGGACTGCTGAATCGGTAGCTACCTGATAAACACCGTCAATTACCGACCGACTCCTTGCAGTGTATTTCATCGATTACTTTTACAAGGCAATGTCCTAGGCGGTTGTTGTTGTTGTTGTAGCGGCTACAACAACCCCGCCCAGATNACGTCGTTTATGGGCGCTCTCTGTCGTAGTTTGTCGCTATTCTTACGACTGGTTAAGTCGGGGGAAGACGGAACACAAATGTTTACATCAGATTTTTCACACTGCCCTTTAGAATTTGATAGAAACTTGTAGGTAGCCAGTGACAGAAATCTCTATCAGTCGTGCCACTCAAATGATTTGTCAAATGATAGTCACTCTTCTTGCAGGGTCGTTTTGGCATATTGCTAGACTGCCTACTGCCCGGAGTTCGGCATTCAAATTTGAATCATCAGTGATGTAAATCTTTGACAATTANCTTCTTGCAGGGACGTTTTGGCATATTGCTAGACTGCCTACTGCCCGGAGTTCGGCATTCAAATTTGAATCATCAGTGATGTAAATCTTTGACAATTATGAGTGATCAGCCTTGATAGAAATATAAGTCAGCAATGTGCAATCAAATTTGATGTAATACCCGATCAATAATAACACATCAAGTCTGACATGTTTTCATATCATTGCTGATTACTCACAGTTGATGTAAAAATTCGTCAAGTCTGATCTCTCACGCATGATTAGAAATCTATCATTAATGACACATTTAATACTTATTATTTTTTTCTTTTATTTTCATAAAATCTTATGACCTAATTATTAATCATTAAAATATTAGAAGTTAAATAATTAATGTCTTACGAAGTAAAAATTCAAATGTTTTTCATAAAACACACACTTGCGACAGAAATAATAGCTCTGATCCAAGGCACATTAAAAAGGTAGTATCAGTAGAGCAAAAACAACATTTGCGTGTATTTTGTTGTTGCTTCTGGTATCGAAAGTGTCAACAACTGTTCTGAATTTTTTCTTCTAAATCAAAGCGTGCCATGTGAAATACAAAAAATTATAAAAAATAAAAAATTGAAATTGGAAAAAATAAAAATTGATGCAACTTTTTTCCTAGTAAATTTGTTTGCTTCTCGAAGCATTGATCCATCCTTTGCAAGGCCCAGTAATCAGCGGTCGTGCTGCCGAGTTGGGCGAACGTTCCAAAAGCTGCTATTCAATCGCTTGTTTTGTATGGAAAAAGGTTTCACAAGCAAATGGATTTTAACAACTTATAATTTTCGTGAGAAAAAATTAACAATATTTGACATTTTCGAGACCAAATAATTTGAAAATAAATCAAATCAGCTGCTCTACTGATACTACCTGTTCAATGTACCTTGCTCCTATCCAATACTTTTCGTGAAAAATACTGTAAAACTGTCAAACAGCAAAATTACTCTCTGAAGTGAGAGTATAAAGTGAGTAACAACAAAAAGTACGGGAACAAAAAAAACACTTTTCCTGTAAAACCGTCAACCAGTGATTGCTTGACACCTTTCATGATTTTACCAGAAGAAAAGGTTAGGGTAAAATCTTGCAACTTCATTCTCTACACAAGTCTCCAAAAGTCGCTCTCATTTACAGGATTTTGGAGTACGGGAACATTTTTCCTGCAACTTCATGCAATTTCGTGTAAATTCCTATAAGTTCATGGAGTACTGGATCAGAGCTAATAGAAACGATTTATTTCGGTGCATTTCTTTTGCTTATTTATGGCCCCNTTTCGTGTAAATTCCTATAAGTTCATGGAGTACTGGATCAGAGCTAATAGAAACGATTTACTTCGGTGCATTTCTTTTGCTTTTTTATGGCCCCAATATACATGGCGATTGGTGTCCAGTTGCTGGTCTAGTAGCCATGGCTACCAGTATCTTACTTTGTATTATGTAAAGCGACTAATCTATATGTAAACAAATTACAAAACCGTCATAAGTGTGAAATACAAAATTGCGCCACTAGATTCTATTATAAAAGTCTAGCTAGTNCTATGTAAAGCGACTAATCTATATGTAAACAAATTACAAAACCGTCATAAGGGTGAAATACAAAATTGCGCCACTAGATTCTATTATAAAAGTCTAGCTAGTTGTATGACAAACGCCATACAAATCCACATTTCAAACTTTGTACATTAAACATTAAATAAACACAAAGGAAATGTAGCCAAAAATTAGTCAAAATAACGCGTTTATATTAGTTCTGCCACCAGCGTACATATGTACATTAGACTGCATCACAAAAAAAAGTTGCGGTTTTTCCACCGGGATTACAAAATTTATTATATTTTAAGATGTGCACCAAAATATTTCGGAAAGATATTAAGATTTAAGCGAGCTGGACCGATTTGAAAATACCTCCAAAAATGAAGTTTTTTATGAATAAAAATAGTTTCTTAAAGAACTTTTTGAAAAAAGTCCCCTCAGATGACAAATTAAATTAAGCTTAAAAAATCTGTACAAAAATATTTAAAAATCTTTTCAACGAAATCGTAAGAATGAGATATTTGATGCTGTTTTTTTACTTTTTTCAAAGATTGGTTTACGAAAAACTGGAATAACTGGGCCAAACATGTTCTGATTTAGACTTATGGCATCTCAGTATAAAGGTATTTTCACACTGTTTTTATTAAACACAGTTAAAAATTTCGATTTTAATTTTAAACTTTTTGGACTTTGCTTCACGTTACAATTCACGAAAACTTTTTCATAATTAAGAATAAAAAAAACTTGAATTTCATGTTCCGTCTAATGGAGATCGAACCCGGACACCCTTGGTAGCAACCAATTGTATCAAGCATCTTTGCAAACTCAGCTACAGCCACGCATGTAAATGCGCTTTCATATGTTGCATTTGAATCAACACCACACTTCGCTGTGTTGATGCCGTCAATTCATAAGATTGGCTCTCTCTCTCTGAGAGACATATAAAAGTTGCGTTCCAGCTGTTTCACAATTTACAGGTTTTTACACGAAGTCGTTCCAGCTGACCACCTTCCATAAGGTTTATTAATGGATAAAACAGCTGTTCCTGCAAATCGTGAATATCGTGAAGCATCTGAGGCAAACATTTTATATTTTGGGAGTTAGGCGACTTACGGAAGGTTTCAAGACCAGGGCACGTACGAAAACCACGCTCTATAAGTCACTCATCATGCCCGTGCTGGTATATGGCGCAGAAGCATGGACAATGACAACATCCGATGAGGCGGCTCTTGGGGTGTTTGAGAGAAAGATTTTGCGGAAGATTTACGGTCCTTTACGCGTTGGCGACGGCGAGTACCGCAGACGATGGAACGATGAGCTGTATGAGCTTTACAACGATATGGACATAGTGCAGCGAATTAAAATACAGCGGCTCCGCTGGCTTGGTCATGTCGTTCGAATGGACACCGACGCTCCAGCTCTGAAAGTATTCAACTCGGAACCCGCTGGTGGTAGCAGAGGAAGAGGGAGGCCTCCACTGCGATGGAAAGACCAGGTGGGGAAGGAATTGGCTTCACTTGGCATTTCCAATTGGCGTCAGTTGGCACAGAAAAGAAACGACTGGCATGCTTTGTTGAACGCGGCCAAAATCGCTTAGGCGGTTACAGTGCCAAATAAGAAGAAAGTGTCTGTTCCCAGCGGTGGACGGCATATGACTGATTCCACTCCAGAAACTCTAGCGGCTCGCTTCATTCCATCCGGACGCATCACGCAAGTCCGCGAAAACTTTCCGGCAGAAGCGCGTGACCACTAAGGTGGTGTCACCGGAGCAGCTGATTTCAAGGCAAATTTGTACTGCTTGTCAAATGATGTGTTTGTTGTAATTTTGTTTTGTGCTGATTGCCAATGTGCGTATAATTTGTTGTAGTTTTTGCTTTTGTTTGTATAAATTCGCCTTGGTTACCACCTACACTCGATTTCGGGGATCCTCAATTTTTAGGTTCGGCAACTGGTAAAACCACATAAGCGGAACAAGTGGGAGAAGCATTTGAAGACCTGCAACTTCGCCTCTGCTGTGAGTAAGCTCTGGTCGACCGTGACCTGTCAAATCGAAAGAGACGTGGCGTCGATTCACACCCTACTTTAACAAGATAAATAAAGATGTGCCAGATTAGTGCCCGTCAAGCGGAGTCTTCGTATGCCCCTAAACCCCACTCAACTAACGCCCCTGTCTCTATGGACTAACTCAGTTGGAGTAGCACACTTCCTAGGTCTCGTTAGTTGAGCTTGACGGCAACGATTGGTAGGCAAGCCGATCTATTCGGCGCTAAGAAAGCCGCTACAACAGCAACTCTCGACCTATAAATGCCGGATCCCAATAACCACCTATCGCATACACAGAAAGTGGAGACTCCCCCTATGACACCAAGCATATTCCAATCAATCCAATTCAGCTAACATCCACCTACCTTTGATCCGACCTCGTCGAAACAGCTCGTTTTTCGGGCCTACCGTTGGCTGAGCTTCTGATGGACACACGGACCCAGGCGAGGCTTAATAGTGCAACGCCTGTGGGTGGTTGACCCTTACTGCTGCTACAATAACACAAACGTACTCAGATAAAAAGATTATAGTTGATTTAACAATTAAAGTAGCTTAAGGGACTACAGAAGATTTGACTTTGCATTAAAAAATAATCAGTTTCCCTTGGAAATGTTTATAGTTTTATTAAAAGGGCACCTTGAACTGCACCTATACCTATGGCTAGTTCAACGTTAAAATATTGTTGGGGAACTTAATGAAATGTTGCTTTAAAGGGAAAAGAGCTTATCCCGACTTAGGCTACTTTAATTGAACGGCACAGATATATTCACACCTTCAATAAAACACAGCATTATTTATTTATGATGAAGCGTTATTTACTATAGCTGTATTTAAAGCGAAATTCTAACGAGTTAAATTCATTGTGCTCTATTAGATCATTCATTAATGCTCAATGCGCTTACTTTTCAAATTATTTTTAAAAAATTTGCGTATTGAATACACTTTGCTAGACAATGTTGTCTTAAATACAATATTTACCGCTTTTTTGTAAATAAACATAGAAAGAAAACTAAAAAAAACACGCATATTTTACCTATAGGGAAAAATGTTTGATCATAATACAGTAAAAAAAANGAGTTAAATTCATTGTGCTCTATTAGATCATTCATTAATGCTCAATGCGCTTACTTTTCAAATTATTTTTAAAAAATTTGCATATTGAATACACTTTGCTAGACAATGTTGTCTTAAATAATATTTACCGCTTTTTTGTTAATAAACATAGAAAGAAAACTAAAAAAACACACATATTTTACCTATAGGGAAAAATGTTTGATCATAATACAGTAAAAAAAAATATTATATAATGGAGAAAATATGCGATTTCTTCTCTATATAATTAAAAGTTATGCAATAGTTTCGCAGTGGAGCTAACGCCTGCGCCAATGCGAGGAAGATGAGTATGTGGAACGTGATCTAGAACGCGAACGTTTTCTCGACGAGCTGTGTCGCGAAGATGAATGCCGAAGGCGGCTGTCATTATCATAGTCATCTTCAAGGCTCGAGTGGCGATGACTGCTATGATGACTTCGATGACGCCCGCGACTTTGGCTTCTGCTGCGGTCATTTCTGTGACTGCGATCACTTCGTTCGCCACGGCGTTCACTCCGTTCATACTCATGTTCGCGCCGATGCTTGGACTCTACCGTTGCTGATGTGCGACTGTAGTGACTTGAGTGGTGTGATGTCGAAGATGTGCTGGTCGAAGTTGTACTTGACGTATCTGTATCACCTGAAGAGGATTGTGATATATTTTTGTTATCATCCACTGCAGCGTCATCATCCTCATCGCTAGAATGTCTCGCTTTGTGCTTACGCCGTTTGGTGTCACCATAACGCTCCTTTTCTCGATCGCGTTCACGTTCCCGTTCACGTTCACGTTCGTGCTCATGATAGCTTTTGCGTTTCCGCTCACGTTCACGTTCGCGGTCTCGATAACGGTCACTTTCGCTGTCTCTATGATCATATCGACTACTACGATGGCTACGCTCTCTTTCCGAGCGTGATACTGACGAACGGCTACTACTTGCACGACGACCCTTTGTGGCTTTCTCATACGCAGCCTCAGCGGCATTTAATAAATTTTTATTTAGCATCGAGACTCCATCACCATCTTCAATAAATGCCGCATTGGCTATGTTGTAAGCGATATGAGGACTTTCATGTGGCATTGCGGATATTGAGGACGACGCACTGATCGTAGTTCCTGCCACTGGCACCAAGGACGTTGCTGCCGTCGTTCCGATAGGGAAGACCACGCTGCCACTTGGATTAGCATTTGCGTTATGCATGTTAGATATATATGTGGCAGCAACTGCTGCGGCGCCTTTTGAGTCTTTGTTATCACTAAATCGAGTTGTACGTTCCTTACGCGAGCTGCGATCTCTCTGTCGCTTGCCTACGATTACAAATAAGAGCCAATATTAATTAATTAATAGTTTCTGAAGTAGAAGCAGATGTAGCAATTTTGAACATTAAAATAAAACCTAATTTTTTTTAATATGTATGTATGTACTACGAACAACCTAAAAACCTAACTAATCATCTTCAAAAAGTGTAGAATATTTAGTCCTTAAAAGGCTATCATAAAGTATTGTCGGGGTGTTTAAAAATATTTCGCGCGAATAACTTAATATTCAATACATTTCCTCTAAAGTTACGATACCGGTGTCTTCCTTGTCTTATTTATACATAAGCCTGACTTATGCTTGTGAAATATAATGGATGATATACATACATACATTGCAGCTCATCACAAGACATCAACTAGCGCTAACCTAACCCAACAGTTCCAGAGGCGGAACAGTCATTGTGCATAGCATCTGTCTACAACTCTCCCAAATGTGTTTGTCTTCTTCTAGCGGCCGCATGGTTTTTGTCGCCAAGTCGCTAGAGTCGTCTTAGCTAAGCCCAATGACTTTGTATACCTGTTATATATCTTAAGCTTGTCTTTAAGAAAGTGGTTAGTTTTCTAAAATTTATAATCAGCCTTTTCCCTGTTATAGGGTAAATGCCTGTGTGATTTCTGATAGATAGTATCTTAAGTAGTTCATATGCTAATAAGACCCATAACAGACGGAACCTCCCTGAGAGTAGCTATTTAGCTATATGATTTAGTTTCCTACTCCCATTTGCGTCGGTCTAGTTCGTAGCATAACTTTCTGCGGATCGGAGCAACTACATTCCTTTCTCTAGAACTCGATCAACAACCTCCTGTTAGGTTATGACAAAGGCACCTTGAATGTCTAAAAATGTATATAGCGCTACCTCACCGCTCTTAAATGAATGTTATATCATAGTAGATCACTGGAATAGTGCGGTAACAGTTGACCTATAAGTGCAATTGGCATGTCGCCCAGGGTGTAACGGCATTGTCATTAGGCTCATTGATTTCGACAGAATTTAGGATTTTTGCATACTTTGGAAATAGGGTTATGTCAATTATAAGCTTTCCCGCACGAAAAACTGGAGAAGAACCGTCTACACCTGGAGATTTGCACTGTATCGTACAGAATACCAGGTGTATGATTTTTTTTTTGCCTCTCAGTTTCCCACAGTAAGTAAGGGTGCGTTCAGAAATTCATCACACCAAAGCATCAGTCTCTTTTATTAGAGCGCTTTTCTCAACTTGCAATGTTGTATGTCCAGTATACAATAAATGTAGGAAAGCTATTTATGGCAAGTTCTATATATCAACCTAGTATAGATATCAACCTCGTAGTAGGCATCATATCAAAGAGATACAACTAGAAGACTCTAGATGTCGCCCCGCCAGAAGAAGTTAAATATTGCGCCTAAATAAATGCATTATTTACATACGCTACAGCGGAAATGGACCACACGCAATTTTTTTAAAAGAATTTAACTGCTGCTATATGTATGTATGTACATATGTATGTATGTTTATACTAAACATTTTGCTTGCATAGCCTTCTGTTCTCTTTTCATTGCAAGTTGAATTATTATTTTTTTTTTATTGCAAATTTTTATANCTAATCAGCCTTTTCCCTGTTATAGGGTAAATGCCTGTGAGATTTCTGATAGATAGTATCTTAAGTAGTTCATATGCTAATAAGACCCATAACAGACGGAACCTTCCTGAGAGTAGCTATTTAGCTATATAATTTAGTTTCCTACTCCCATTTGCGTCGGTCTAGTTCGTAGCATAACTTTCTGCGGATCGGAGCAACTACATTCCTTTCTCTAGAACTCGATCAACAACCTCCTGTTAGGTTATGACAAAGGCACCTTGAATGTCTAAAAATGTATATAGCGCTACCTCACCGCTCTTAAATGAATGTTATATCATAGTAGATCACTGGAATAGTGCGGTAACAGTTGACCTATAAGTGCAATTGGCATGTCGCCCAGGGTGTAACGGCATTGTCATTAGGCTCATTGATTTCGACAGAATTTAGGATTTTTGCATACTTTGGAAATAGGGTTATGTCAATTATAAGCTTTCCCGCACGAAAAACTGGAGAAGAACCGTCTACACCTGGAGATTTGCACTGTATCGTACAGAATACCAGGTGTATGATTTTTTTTTTGCCTCTCAGTTTCCCACAGTAAGTAAGGGTGCGTTCAGAAATTCATCACACCAAAGCATCAGTCTCTTTTATTAGAGCGCTTTTCTCAACTTGCAATGTTGTATGTCCAGTATACAATAAATGTAGGAAAGCTATTTATGGCAAGTTCTATATATCAACCTAGTATAGATATCAACCTCGTAGTAGGCATCATATCAAAGAGATACAACTAGAAGACTCTAGATGTCGCCCCGCCAGAAGAAGTTAAATATTGCGCCTAAATAAATGCATTATTTACATACGCTACAGCGGAAATGGACCACACGCAATTTTTTTAAAAGAATTTAACTGCTGCTATATGTATGTATGTACATATGTATGTATGTTTATACTAAACATTTTGCTTGCATAGCCTTCTGTTCTCTTTTCATTGCAAGTTGAATTATTATTTTTTTTTTATTGCAAATTTTTATACAGACAAGACTAAAAAGTAGAAAATGAATAAAAAAAAACTTTTTAATATACAAGGCTTTTATAAATGGAATAAAAATTACAAAATAATATTTCTCAGTCTAATAGAATTTGTTTTGATAACTTTTGATTTTGAAATTTAAGCAAGTCATTATAAACCATTTATGAGATTGAAAAAGAAAAGCGTGGGGCGCATGTAGTAGACCTAAATTGATATGAAGGGTAATATATGTATGAATGTGGATATATGAATAACGACCACTTAAAATCGATCTTAGATTTGTTCTTTCTATGTAGAAATTTCAGGTCTATGTTATGTAGTTTGAGTAAATCTAATGCTCTGTACTGCAAGCGCCACGTTTTTCGTTTTCAATCTCGAAAATGGTTTATAATGACTTTTGCTAAAATTACAAAATCAAAAGTTATCAAAACAAATTCTTTAAAGACTGATAAGCATGATAAAAACATTACAAGGTAAAATCATTGAGAGGCAGTCTGGCCAACAATATAATTTTAAAATTCGAGCTCAGGCTCACACACACATTCCCTCTTTTAATCTCAAACAACAACAATTGTGAACAATTTCATTTTTTTATTTTCAATTTTATATGATTTTAAAATGTTTGCAAACGTCAGAAAAAAATCATGGCCGACGAATTGAGAGAATGGTTTTACCTTCTAATGTTTTTATCATGGTCCCCAGTATATCCAAGTCTTATGTTTCAAATAATTTCTACCCTCACTAATGGGTCATTGTCTANGTTTTACCTTCTAATGTTTTTATCATGGTCCCCAGTATATCGAAGTCTTATGTTTCAAATAATTTCTACCCTCACTAATGGGTCATTGTCTAGGTCAAACTAAAGTGCTCTTTATACCAAATATTAAATCATTCTTTGGCATTATAGCGAATAGGTTCCAAAATTCTATAAACACGATGTTAGGTGGCTTTAAACTTAAGTTTTCTTCGCATGAAAAGGGTAAATTTTTATCGACGACTGATTTTGATTTTTTCTCTTTTGGTTTTTGGCAAAAAATATTGTATACAAACAAACGCACCGTTTGAATGTTGTAACTTTGATTCAGTTGCCTCACCGAAATCCCTTTCGTAAGATTTACTAACTGTGCTTGTCATGGCTGACGACGAGGACGACCATATCGCGGCATCATCGCTCTGCCCAGCTTCGCCTGCTGCATTATCCTTTAATTCTTCGTCCTCCTCCTCTCGTTTTTCTAGCAAGCAGTAATACTTCAATTTCTGTTCTTCTCGCGCGGCGTTGGCTGCTATACGCTCCTCAATTTCATCGGTTACTTTAGCAAAAGCACGCCGTTTCGCACGTATTGAAGCCTATAAAGAATATGATAAAACCCTAAATTTTAAAACACATTTGGTTGATTAAACCTTAATTTCCTCCTCGGAATCATTGTTGGTATCATTATCAGCGGATGTTTCATCGTCCGTGTCGCTGCTTTCATCACCTGTAGAATCGTCGTATGCTGCTAAGCCTAAAAATAAATGTGCTGCTAGTTCGAATTCTAAAAATGAAAGTCTTTCGTACTGTGGATTTATTCTAACGACAACAACTAACGTCTCAGGTAGGGAACTCATCGTTTGAGTTGAAAACTGGTTAAAGAGTACCGAAAAGTGAAGAAGAATGCATTCATATCAGATTTTTTGGAAAAAACAATCTGTATGAAGGCCTACGAAGCACATGTGCCATGGAGATTTTGCGATTTTCTAAGCGGTATTAACATTTGTGGGAATAACAAAGAATATTACTTACAGTTGCGAACATAAAAATAGCAGTACCGCTTTTGTTTAGTGTATGTCGTAAATTGGACAAAATCTCACGACTCGACCACATTCGACCTCGTTGCGAGCGTCGTGCAAACGAATGAATGATCACCATTGATGGCATTTAAATTTCTACTCAACTAGTGTATTAAAAAGGAAAAACTTGGCAGCAATGGATATTTTTCGACGATTTTTGTTGTCTACTCATTTCAGCACGACAGTATGCAATGGCAATATTGTCGAGTGGTGCAATTTAGTCTAACACCCCTATTGCGAGTGTCGACTAGTAGTAGATAAACGACTATTAGTCTATCGATTATTCGTGGCGTTTTGGCGCGTCTGCTAACACCAGGCTGTACTGCTGCATGTGCAAAAATTGCCTTTTAGCTATTTTTGAACTTTTTGCACAGGCACTTCTCAACTGCCATGTAATTAAACTTGCTTAAGTTTTAATTAGATGGCACATCAAAGTATGCTCGTCCTAGTCTGATACATCCTCCGGACACTGCTTCCGGAGTTTTTGCGGACTCTGGATGACTTACAACTATGCAGAGGTGGTAATAGCTGATTACCATTGGCCACAGTGCCTAACCACATACATACATGCAAACATACTGCTCTCGTTCAATAAGAGCGTGTGAATGGTTTATAGTCGCTCATCCTTATACAAACAAACAGTTTTAGAAAAATGAGCGATAAAAAACTATTCACAGTCGCTTATTGAATGAACATTTACAATACCGTGGAAAAGCGATAATCGAATAAGAGTCGTTTATGTACTACTAGTCGACACTCGCAATAGGGATGTAATTTGCGACTTACGCAATGAGGCTGATTGGCATCAGAGTTGCCGGTTCGATACAATTGTATCATTTAAGACCCTAAATTCTAAATTTTAAACTTTGATACTTTTTTGTTCACAAAAGCCCCATTTTGATACTTTTGGCTGGCAGAAATGAATTTCTGAATAATATGAATAATATTGCTAGTGTAAAGGCTAATATTTTTTTTGTGTTATTTAAAGTCTTACAGCTAAATTCATAAAAAATAAAGAAGCCTTTACTGCTTTATATGAAAATGTCACTTTAAAGAGCTCCTTAAATCTATTTTATTTTTTATGAATAAGGCCAATAAAATTTTATATGTAGACATTTATAAGCAGGACAGCCAATAAAAGTACCAAATAGAAAAATAAATGCCAAAACAGGTGACATTCTTTTTAATTCTACCCATTTAGCATTAAAATTAGAAACACATTCCTAAAACAAATGTCCAATGCCAAAATAAGTTAAACCAGTTGTATACACTTTAGAAATTAGAAAATTTGAGTTGAGAAAAAAAGTATTAGCAAAAGATTTCACAAAAATGTATTGAAATATTACTATTTTTCAAAAGTGCCATTTGAAATAAAGTAGGTCTATAGGTTTATAGTAGGGCTGTGCGATTAATTGATTACANAACCAGTTGTATACACTTTAGAAATTAGAAAATTTGAGTTGAGAAAAAAAGTATTAGCAAAAGATTTCACAAAAATGTATTGAAATATTACTATTTTTCAAAAGTGCCATTTGAAATAAAGTAGGTCTATAGGTTTATAGTAGGGCTGTGCGATTAATTGATTACTCAAAATTTTAATTAATCATAAAGTAAATAACTCAATTATTCGATTAATTGGAAATTATGATTACTCAAAAGTTCAGTTACTCGAGTAAGCAAGATTTTTGATAAACAAAAAAAAAAAAAAAATTTTGAGTAAGTTGCTTTATGATTAGTCAACATTTCGAGTAAAAAGAGTAATCAACATTTCAATTCTTTACATATGTATAAACTTTATAGGTCTTATAAGGGAAATACAGCCCGGAATTTCTTTGGACACGCCGCTGTTATAGGGCCCCTAAACCACACAAAAACTTTGCGCAATATCGGGCTTGCGTAGGTCGTTTGTGTAGTGTATGGAGTTGTTTGTACTAAATTGCACAGTTACTGCGCTAAAATCCAAATCATTTTGATATTTTGCTAATGCTTGTATTATTATACAATAATTTGTGTTCATGCTGTAAAATATGGTAAGAACGTAGAAAAAAATTAAATTTTTGTTTTAATATTCTTTTTGGCGTTTCAAAACTGAAGCTATCAAAATATACAACGCACATTCATATTCCTTGCTCCTTGAGCAACGTTTCTCCAAAGTAATGTTTGCGCCATTTTATTGTGTAGTAATTTCCACAATATTGACTTGTTCTAGTGTGGTTTTATTTGTTACTTGTTTTTCAAATAAAAGTTTTAAAAAATAACAGTTGTGTTTGGTTTTGCTTCTTTGAAACACACATGTACATGCATATGTAGTAAGCCAGAGAACATTAACTTAGAAAATAACGAAATAACGTAAATCGTTACAGAATCTCCAAAGAGCGTACCCAGATGCCGCACTATACATATATCGTGCGCATATTACGGCCCGTTGAAATTATATATTAAATACATATATCAAGTGAAAGGTATTTTTATGCTCTTTTAAATATTTTAGCATATAGTTGATAACGTAATTTTAAAGAAAAATATTAATGTTTATAAAAAAATGGACACAATTTGGTTCTTTTTGCTTTCGGCAAGAAAGTATGTGTATCAGTTGTGTGATGCTATAACAATTCCGATGTTCATCATTGCTTCAATGCCAATTGCTATTGGTCCGCAGGAATGCAGAAGCAGTCACTACGGAGTTAATTAAGAAATCTCGTATGATTAAAGCCGATCTAGGAGTATATATTTCTCTACCACGTTTGGCAGGTAAAAAAAAAAAAAAAGAAGTAACCCCCATTGGTCAATGAAAATAAGTACTGGCGGCGATCTATAAAAATACCGTATCTGGACTCACCAAGGGCCACTTTAAAACCACACTGTTCTAATAAAAAAACTTCAGGGGCCCAATACCTGTTCTGTGAAAACGTGAAGTAAAACAATAGGAGTGTTCGCTATGTAACTGCCAGTAAGAATTTTGTAACTGCCAGTAACAAAATTCAGAGAACAAGGTACCTTACTCTCCCAAAGGGAGAAACTTATTAAGTTTTGCGCGAACAGGAATTAGCAAACATTTGCACGGTTGCATTTCGAGCATAATAAATTTTTAAAATTATTTCGGGTGGCATTGAAAACCGGACCTATACGTATATTTCTTCTTATTCTGACTTTCTTCAACATACGCTTCAATTTCTTTGTGGAAGTCACTGTCGGATTTCCTATATCGACAGCGCTGTCGAGTGCGTTCCGATTACGAATACAACTTTTTCAGCCGGGTACCTTTCAAATGTTTGGAATTAATTAAATTAATTGAATAAACAAATATTTCATACTTCTTTCATTAGTAAATCGCAAAAAGATTGTTAATTTTTGAATTTAACGAACTTTTTGATTCAAAGTAATGTTGACAAAAATGCAACCGTGTGCCACAATCCTGCTTGCAAATTCTTACTGGCAAAAATTTTCCCAGCACGAATTTGCAACTTCCCCTCCAAATGAAATGTCAAAATTGTGCTCTCTCCTGGCAAGTTTTACTGGGTTTTTGGCTAAACGAACACAATTTGGTAACAATTGGTACCAACTTGTACAAATTTTTTGCATAGCGAACACTCCTAATATTTCATCACTTCACGATTAATTTTTCAAACGGAATTAAATTAATTCCCACTTGGAAAATAGGTAAGCTATGTTTTCTTTAAGTTTTTAGTACCAAAAATACCATCGTGACCAATGTAATCTACTAGAAAAGAACAAAATGAACGCCTACGTTGTCAGTTGCAAAATAACGTGCCGCCGAAGTTATTTGCAAGCGCCGAACTACTCCGAGCGACTGCTCTACATTCTACGTAACTTACTTTGTAAAGCGGCTCAGAAGTATGTCTGATACCTAATGTATATTCTAAATTTCTACTTCCTTCCGCGAGATGATTCAGGGGGAAATAATAGAAAAGTTTGCTGAAAATCCTAGACGTTTGTTATTAAAATGATTTAATATAAAAGAGAACTTTTTTAAGAAACAATTATATAGACTTCCGAATAGTCGTGCGCAAAACCCGCATGCCACTTAAATGGATCTTCCAGCAGGAATTTTCGACACGAATTGCCTTTCTTTTTTATGGCATGATATATACGCATGTTCATGTTTCGTACCAAAATAAAAATTTTAAGTAATGCATACTTTAAAAATTATTTCAGGTTTAAGGAAAAAAAGGTACTACCAAGGCATATCAAGCATGTAGTAGCATTAGAGCAAAAACAACATTTGCGTGCATTTCGTTGTTGCTTCTGGTATCGAAAGTGTCACAAGCTGTTCTGATTTTTTTCTTCTAATTGGAAGAAAATTAAAATTGTTGCAACTTTCTTTCTTAGTAAATTTGTTTGCTTCTCGAAGCATTGATCCATCTTTTGCAAGGCACAGTAATCAGCGGTTGTGCTCCTGAGTTGAGGGAACGTTCCAATAGCTGCTATTAAATCGCTTGATGCAAATAGATTTTAACAATTTAGAATTTTTGTGAGAATAAATTCAAAGTATTTGACATTTTCGAGACCAAATAATTTGAATAGAAGCAAATCAGCTGCTCTACTGATACTACCTGTTCAATGTACCTTGGGTACTGCTATTTTAGTGTTTGCAACTGATTGTCGTATTTCCCATAGCCTTTGAAAAGGGAAAATATGTGTAATTTAAAAAATATCACGTGAAGACAAACTTAATACTTAGCTTTTATTATTTTAACTAAGGTATTTTTTTTAATGCCCAGCATTAGATTCAAATAGTTATATGAAGCTTTTCGAATTTATTCAACCTGGAAACATGTGTCTAAATTAATTCTAGGACACATGACAATATTACCTGCTACAATCATCCAAATCGAATCATACTAAACAATCATACATAATTTAATTACTCCAACCGTAATCACAAATAAGACAGAGAGAATACCATGTGGATATATAATTAGGAAATTGCATACAAAGTGAACTTACCCAATTTGCCGGTTATGGAAGACAGTGCGCTTTTACGGATCACTTGGGCTGATGTTGCTTTTGTTTGTACGGTTACGTAGTTATCGAGTATATGTAAAATGTACACAATTTCATTTGGTTAACAGATAAAGTTCATTTTCATTTACAAGTAGCAGTGCAGAGAGACAAGAAGTCAGTCATACAACTTTTAGAATAGAATACTTTATGCATTTTCAACATTGCATCAATGCCTCAGAACGCATAAAATCACAAAAACACTAGAAGGAAATATGCATATCAAAAATAAGATTATAGACTTAGTACCTTTGGCTTTGTGCGCGTTTACAGCTTCTTGCGCCAAGTTTGCGATCTCTTGGTTTGTAACGTCCAACAGGAGTTCAGTTAGTGTTGTTCGCACCACTATCATCTAAGCACGTTTTTACGTACATATATGTATTTTTGTTTTTTTTCCAAAGTATGTCAAAAGGGACAAAACGAATTCGTTTTGTGTCAGGGCAGGTGTATCATACAATTAAGAGGTTATAGAGTTAAAATTTTTTAGCAGTAGTGAAAAAGTTAATTATCAAGACGGTGTCATTTGCGTAAGAGATCGTTTCAATATTTAAGTTTTGTATTGATTTCATCCATTTGTATGTCGGCAAGTCGGGCGCATACAAATAAATGTTTGGCGTAAACATCATAAACAAATTGGCGAATTTTGTTTTAACAAATGAAAAATAAAAAATTAAAGCTTAGTGAACTAGAATATTACAATTTAAAGAAGAATTATTTCAAATGTGCATACCAGGTCAGATAGTCTATCTTCATAGCTTCTTTTACCCATATAAGTGCGTTGTTCAGTGTTATTCTCGTTATCCGTTTCGTGCTCATTGTCACTGCCTTCGTCGCCTTTTGCAGTTTTTTGAGGCATCACTAAAGTTTCATCGCCGATAGCTACACCATCGAAGTCCTCTACTTCTGGTTCATCCTCGTTACCTGACATATCGTTCTCCTAAATTATTTTTCAGCTTAGTATAACATATGAATCGCCTTTCACCAATCTCTCGAAAGTTAAAACCTCCGGAGAATTTTAAATGAAAGGTTTCGTCTATTCTGGCCGGAAGCAATGCTTCCCGTGCCTTTAAGCTGTGTAATGTTAAGGATATTACTTACCGCAGATTGTTTATATTTTATGTTTACCGTGTGCATTGCATCACCGGCAATACCTACAGACCCTGTGAAATTGCTGGAATCACTACCACTTGGCTCTTCACGTCTTTTGCTCTGCTCCCTTTCTAGTTGTCTCAGTTTTTCACGTTCCATTTTTTCTAACCCTTCCCTTTTTTATAAAACCATACATTTTATATTGTACAAATAGTTGTTTTAAAACATTAGTAAAGTGCTAACGTTACCTAATCCAAGCTGGAAGCATTTTTCTCTTCTTAGCGTCTACCGCAGCAGCTGTATTATTTTGTTCTTCGACGTTGGGTGTCATCATCTTTACTGTGTTTGGGTTTGGCACATTAATTTTTAGTAGTGATGGTATGTGTGCTGTTGGATTCGTTACGGAATCATTTATCGCACTATTTAATATTGATCCAGCAATAGGAGGCGGCAAGTTCATACGAGGTGGCCAAACGGTGGCATTCCATTGTGGCGCTGCTGGTGTGATTTTGCTGTTATTACCTATGTCTGAAAACCCGATTTACAATAGGCATTTACGATTCTAACAAACATTTTAATGTATCGCAGTTCCTACATACCAGCACCAATAAAATTTCCATCGATTGGTGAACCCGCAACTTGACTTTGGTGTTGCATATACCATGGTGCCTGTGATTGCATAATCGCTTGTTCTCTATTTTTTCCAAGTTGCATCGATGGCGCTGGTGGTGGTGGCGTATCCCCACGCCTCGCATTTTCTTCATCATCCATTTCCATATCAGCTTCCCCCTTTTCATCGAACGATTTCTTCGCTGTAGTTGTCACTGGCCGAGTTGCGACATTTTTATTTGCCGTATTTGTGTCATGAAAACTGTTACTGATGTTGGGCGGAGGTGGAGCATCGGGCATAAGATTACCAGTATCATGCATCTGGATCCATTGCTGCGCCATGGCTGCCCAATCTATCGGCCCACTCATGCTAGCGAATTGATTTAGGCCACTGAGGCCGTCACTACTGGAATCACCGGCTGAGTACATTGCTCTACGTTTCGATTCAGGAAATTTTCACTTTTTTAAATATTTGTTTTTTTGCTAAATTCAACGAAAAACTTTTACTTTTTTTAACAACACGCCATTTTTTCCAAGGAAAATGACTCTGGATATAGTTTTTCTGGCATTTGGCGAAAATAAGTAGGTTTTATAGTGATGCCACTAAGTTTTATATAAATATTCATAACCCCCTGTCTCGACATACGAACGCTGATCTCATGCGAATCATCTCATACTGGCATACAGGATAAAATTTATTGCTGCCCAGCTGTCATTTTGGTCGCTAGATCAGTGGCAATATTTGTGTGGGCTTTTTATATCTTGATATAATCATTTGCAAGATGGCTTTGAAAATGTATTTTTGCCGGATTTATTCGCTTGAAACATTTACAAAATAGGCTCTTTATTTTACATCCAAGTACATCATTACAAATATTTTAACAGGAAACATCTCAATTTTTGCTTTTATATTAAAATAATAATGATGTTGCAGCCACGAAGTTTTCGTGCAAATGACAAACTACCAAATTGTCGGCAATAGATGGCAAGATATAAGCTCTGATATATATTCCTCTTGAAGAGCAATGAGCGGTCTCCATTGGCTATTTATATTCTAACATATGTATCAAGATATAAACTTTATCCTGTGGAGAAGGACAGTTACATATACATATTGCAAATGGAGACCCATGAACGAAAGACACTAGATCACGTAAGAACAAGAGAGTGAAAAAGTCGATTTTTTTAGCGGGTTCTACGCCATCTTGTTTCACTGGAAAACGAGCGAAAAGTAAACAAAGCAAAGAAAACAACGAAAACCAAAATTACCCAAAATTATTGTCAGCCACTTTAAACGCACAATTTAGGTAAAATGATGCAACAAAATGCTTTAAAATGTGTTGTCATGTTGAACTAACTCTTCTTTACTTGAATAAAAGTGTAAAATAGTGGTACTTGTGATGTAAACAAACGCTCAGCTGACGAACCCGCTTTCGCAAGCTTTTTTCTCAAAACCAGTTACAAATACAACGTCGCGTTCTTACGTGATCTTGTATTTTTGGTTCATGATGGAGACCGCTCATCGCAGAGCTCATGCAATAAATATCTGAACTCATCGCATGATAATTATTGCATGCAATAAAATTTCAAACAGCATGTTTGTCGTTTTTTTTGCGTTAAACTAGGATGTGTCTTATGTAACAAATATGCTTAAAAGGATGAGAAATAAACGAAGTGCTCTGTGTCATTAGCTTCTTCTTTTTCTTTTTCCGGCGCTGTAACCACCTAAGCGATTTTGGCCGAGTTCAGCAAAGCACGCCAGTCGTTTCTCCTCTGTGCCAACTAACGCCAATTGGAAACGCCAAGTGAAGCCAAGTCCTTCTCCACCTGATCTTTCCATCGCAGTGGGGGCCTCCCTCTTCCTCTGCTACCACCAGCGGGTTCCGAGTTGAATACTTTCAGAGCTGGAGCGTCGGTGTCCATTCGAACGACATGACCAAGCCAGCGGAGCCGCTGTATTTTAATTCGCTGCACTATGTCCATATCGTTGTAAAGCTCATACAGCTCATCGTTCCATCGTCTGCGGTACTCGCCGTCACTAACGCGTAAAGGCTCGTAAATCTTTCGCAAAATATTTCTCTCAAACACTCCAAGAGCCGCCTCATCGGATGTTGTCATTGTCCATGCTTCTGCGCCATATACCAGCACGGGCATGATGAGTGACTTATAGAGCGTGGTTTTCGTACGTCGAGAGAGGACTTTACTCCTGAATTGCCTACTCAGTCCAAAGTAGCACTTGTTGGCAAGAGTGATTCTACGTTGGATTTCAATGCTGACATTATTATCGGTGTTAATGCTAGTTCCCAAGTAAACGACATTCTCTACATTCTCGAAATTGTCGATGTCATCGGCATAAGCCAGTAATTGCACGCTCTTGTTCCTGAGCGGTTCAGTACTGCAGCTCTTATTATGTTCTCCAACATCAGATTAAAGAACTCACATGAAGAAGTCACTGCCTGAAACCTCGTTTTGTGGCGAACGGCTCGGAGAGGTCTTTTCCAATTCTGACGGAGCTGGTGGTATTGCTCAACGTCATTTTACACAGCCGTATGAGTTTTGAGGGGATGCCAAATTCAGACATAGCGGCGTATAGGCAACTCCTTTTAGTGCTGTCAAAAGCGGCTTTAAAGTCGACAAATAGGTGGTGAGTGTCGATCCTTTTCTCGCGGGTCTTTTCCAAGATTTGGCGTATTGTGAATACCTGGTCTATGGTGGATTTGCCAGGTCTAAAGCCACACTGATAAGGCCCAATCAGTTCATTGACGGTGGGCTTCAGTCTTTCACACAATACGCTCGATAAGACCTTGTAACCTATGCTTAGAACGCCGATCCCACGGTAGTTGGCGCAAATGGCGGGGTCACCTTTCTTGTGGATTGGGCAGAGCACACTTAAATTCCAGTCGTCGGGCATGCGTTCATCTGACCATATTCTGCACAAGAGTTGATGCATGCACCTTATCAACTCCTCGCCGCCGTACTTGAATAGCTCAGCTGGCAGGCTGTCAGCTCCAGCGGCTTTGTTGTTTTTCAGCCGCGTTATTGCTATACGTACCTCGTCATAGTCAGGCGGTGGAACGTCGACTCCGTCATCATCGACTGCGGGCTCGGGTTCTTCTTCTCCACAACTTTCCGTGCTGCTACCATTTAGTAGGGCGGAAAAGTGTTCCCTCCATAATTTAAGTACGCTCTGGACATCAGTTACTAGGTCGCCATTATTGTTCTTACAGGAGTGCGCCCCGGTCTTTAAACCTTCCGTAAGTCGCCTAACTCTCTGGTAAAATTCTCAGGCATTCTTCCTGTCGGTCAGCATTTCAAGCTCTTCGCACTCACATATTTCGGACTATCTTTTCTTATTGCAGCCAATACGTCTCGCTTCCCTCTTCAGATCCCTATAGCGGTCCCACATAGCACGCGTTGCGCCCAATCGCAGTGTGGCCCTGTAGGCGGCATCTTTTATCTCTGCAGCTTCCTGATACCCCTCATCGTACCAGTTGTTCTTTCGGGCTCGCTGAAATCCGACTACTTCTTCGGCGGCGGTACTTAATGAGCGGGAAATGTGGTTCCACTGCTCGCATATGTCGGTTTGTTGAAGAGTGCTCTCTGAGAGCAGGTGTGAGAGTCGAGTAGCGAAAGCGCTGGCTGTCTGTTGTGATTGCAGCTTTTCGACGTTAAGCTTTCCTTGCATATTTGGGCGCACATTTTTTGCTGCACAGAGGCGGGTGCGTATCTTGGCTGCAACAAGATAGTGGTCCGAGTCGATGTTTGGGCCTCGGAGTGTGCGTACGTCTAAAACACTGGAAGCGTGCCTTCCGTCTATCACAACATGATCGATTTGGTTTCTCGTTTTTCGATCCGGAGACAGCCACGTAGCTTGATGGATCTTTTTATGCTTGAACCTAGTACTGCATACTAATATGTTTCGGGCCCCGGCGAAGTCGATCAGCCCCAATCCGTTGTCGGACGTTTCGTCGTGGAGGCTGAATTTTCCGACGGTGGTTCCAAAGCTCCCTTCCTTGCCCACCCTGGCATTGAAGTCGCCAAGCACGATTTTGATATAGTGGCGGGGGCAGCGCGCGTATGTGCTCTCCAAGCGCTCATAAGAGAGATCATTGGATGCCTCATCCTTCTCTTCCGTCGGGCATGGGTGCAGATGAACGAGATGTTGAAGAATCTCGCTTGGATGCGGATTGTGGCTAGACGCTCGTCCACCGGGGTGAACGATAGTCCTCGGTGACGGAGTCTCTCTCCCACCACAAATCCAAGTCCGAATTTGCGCTCCTTTACATGGCAGCTGTAGTAGACGTCGCAAGGCCCCAGACATTGCTTGCCTTGCCCCGTCCAACGCATTTCTTGGATGGCGGTGATGTCTGCTTTTGTCCTTACGAGGACACATATTTCCATAAAACTAAAAAAACGAAATTATAGCAATTTTTTTAATAAAAATGTATGTTTTTCTTAAAAAAATACGTAATTAACTATATTAAAAGATAAATTTTTTGCGAAATTTCAATATTTTTTTAAATACTAACTATAACTGATTTAGGGCCGGTTGCTCAAAGCCTGGTTGACACTAATCCCTGGTTAAACATCGTTATCGACGTTACCAACACCGTGTTGTATGCCGGTTGTTCAATGTCTGGTTAGCACAAATCGGAGGTAGAAGCTCCGGTTAGAAACAACGACTGCTTTATCGATCACATGTTATATGCAAGATGTCGAAATCGTCGATAATGATGTTTAACGGGCAAGTAGTGATAACCAGACAATGTGTGGTTAACACTAATCTGCGTTTAAACATCGTTACCGACGTCTTCGACTCCATGCATATAACAGAGAGTCCCGGAATTATTTTTGCGCAGAACTTCTTTCTGCGTAGGCGGCCTTCGGCCGCGCTTAGGGATTACAACCCTGACTAAGTAGAATTCTCCTTTCTGTGTTGCCGGAAAAGGAGGGCGGAAGTATTTTTGCGCAGAATTTCTCTCTGCGTAGGCGGCTTTCAGCCGCGCTTAGGGATTAAAAAGTAAATAATTCATATTAGAAAAAACGAAATTATCCATATGACCACTTTCGTTAGAAAACCGAAATAATGCATATAACAAAAACCGAAATAATGCATGCATGCACAATTTCGGTTCAAAACCGAAATGATACATATGGCAAAAACCGAAATAAAGCATACATGCACAGTTTCGGTTGAAAACCGATATAATGCATATGAAAAACCCGAAGTAATGCCGAAACAATGCATATGAGAACATACCGAAATTATGCATATGCATGCTTTCGTTTTAGAAGCGAAATAATGCATTTGAAAAAAAAAAACGAAGTAATGCATACATGCACAGTTTCGGTTGAAAACCGAAATAATGCATATGGCAAAAACCGAAATAATGCATACATGCACAGTTTCGGTTGAAACCGAAATAATGTCTAAATGCACAGTTTCCATATGCGCAATTTCGGTGCCCCCTTGCCGGTTAAACATCATTATCTACGTTTTCGGCATCATGCATATAACATGTGATCGATAAAGCAGCCGTTGTATTTAACCGGAACTAACCTCCGATTAGTGCTAATCAGACATTGAGCAACCAGGCCTAAGTTTAAATTGAACAGCTGGCTGACATTTGGTTGGCTGATCTTAGTTTAAACCACGACCGTGCACTGAAAAACGGGCCCTTATAGGGAATTTACATGAGGCGATTTTTCAGGCGATTTTTAGTTGAAAGCAACAATCGCCTGGTGTAAACAGCCTTTCAACTAATCGCTTACAATGAAGTTGGTCGGCTCCCTACTTTCGTTCAACTTTTGGTGCAACTAATCGCCTGTGAAAGTTGAATCATGTAAATTCCCTATTAGTGGCAGCGCTTCGAGCATTCAAATAACCGTTTTTGCACAAAATAGGTAATGAAACAAGTTTTATACCAATAGTTTACATATGGGGTGTTCACAGTTCGTTCCAAATTGTGTCTGAAAATGTAGACGTCTACATTTTGAGACATCTTTAGCATCAATATGCATGAAGTCGAAATCGTCGATAATCATTTTTATCAGGCAGGTTCTGCAATTCACTTCAGAGTGAATTCTAATAAATTTCGCTTTGAATTCAAATGGGCAGGGGTTGAAATTCACTCAAAAGTGAATTGCAGAACCTGCCAGATAAAAATGATAATCTACGATTTCGACTTCATGCATATAAGATTACCTCCGATTTGTGTTAACCAGACATTGAATCGCCTCCCCTTAATAGATATTGCAAACCTTGAACGATTAGCCACAATCAGTCCACCTCAGGTGATGTTTGTTTGAGATGTGTGCTGAGCAAATATGCATTGTTTGTACGCGTTGAGCCATCTCAAGTGTAGATGCTGATAAGAAAGGGAAATCTGCGAATTTCTGAAGGTTTGTTAAAATACTGTGGCAACCTTAGAAGAACTGCATTACCGGCCATAATGACTTGACGTCTAAGTGCAATTGCCACTCACACACACCAACAAGTTTTCAAAAAGGGCTGTTATACGCACATTGCATTTTCAAACGGCATTTCTACAAAATTATTTCTTTTGACGAAAATTCTTTTTAACGCAAAAATAAAACCGGAATATTGTAATTATTATTAAGGAGCATGTACAGAAAGCCTATTACCACACTAAATGGGAAAGAAAACCAATTGCAGGCGGTAAAGCCATTCCCGGCACCCCCACAGAAACTGCAGAATGCGAAAAATGTAAGTGTTTCAGGTTATTTTCGTCAAAATTAGAAAATAAAATTGTGCAAATTACGTATAGATGCTTGGCGAAAATGGGAAAGTGGGCTCGACTATTTCTATACCAAGACCTGTGCCATCATATCGCAGCGGCACCGCAACGTCGGCTGCGCCTCCTGCATCTAGGGCTATCCACATTTCATCCACAGCTGCGACGAATAATCGGGTGGCGGCACAAAGCAGTGCTACGCGTTCAACAACAGCACCGCTGGCAACATTGACCGTAAAGCCCTCAACAAGCAAGCAAACGTTCTCATCAAATCCCATTGCTTCATCCACGATAAAACCTATCGCCACCACATCTACCAACAAAGAAGCTGATAAACAAGTAAATACTGAGAAAGAAAAACGGGATTTTAAACCAACTGCAAACTCCACAGAAGTGCCAACAAAAAATGTAACAGATAGTGATCCCAAAAATACTAAAGATGAATCAAAGAAGTCTGATAATGAAAAGACTGGTATGTGAAATAGATAAAAAATTGAATAAATGGTTATGTATCTATATCTATTCCGATAATGTGTAGGTACAAATAAAGAGAAAAAGTCATGGTCCCTGAGCAATTTTGACATAGGAAGGCCTCTGGGCAGAGGCAAATTTGGCAATGTATACTTAGCGCGCGAAAAAGAGTCGAAGTTCGTGGTCGCGCTGAAGGTATTATTTAAAAAACAAATCCACGAATCTAACGTCGAACATCAAGTAAGACGCGAAATCGAAATACAGTCGCATTTACGGCATCCACATATTCTACGCTTATATGGCTATTTCCATGATGATGCACGCATTTATCTTATATTGGAGTACGCTCCTAAGGGTACACTCTTCAAAGAATTACAATCGCAGCCATTGAAACGTTTTAACGAACCGACATCTGCTGTATACATTCGTTCACTAGCGTCAGCTTTGCAGTACCTTCATGAGCGCGATGTAATTCATCGTGATATCAAACCTGAAAACTTGTTACTAGGACATAAAGGTGACTTGAAAATAGCCGACTTTGGATGGTCTGTTCACGAGCCAAATTCAATGCGCACAACATTATGTGGCACACTGGATTATTTGCCACCCGAAATGGTGCAAGGCAAGCCACATACTAAAAACGTGGATCTTTGGAGCTTGGGCGTATTGTGCTATGAATTATTAGTGGGGAACGCTCCATTCCTTGCTACCGATTATGACGAGACTTACAAAAAAATTATTAAAGTCGATTACAAATTACCCGATTTTGTTTCACGAGCAGCAGCGCACTTTATTTCTAAGTTATTGGTGCTCAATCCCCAGCAACGCCTTCCTCTGGATCAAGTATTTCTACATCCTTGGGTTGCAGCGCACATAAAATAAATATTACACACTTGATTGTTCAACATTGATATTTATTGCTTTTAACATTTTTATTTTTAATATTTTACTAGCTTGAGTAAAGAATGGCGGCCTGTTCCAAATTGAAAACATTAACATATTGGAGCTAAAAATTTAATTTAAAAAAAATAAAATAAAAATAGATAACAGATAAAGCGAAAGCATAATCGTNCGAGCTAAAAATTTAATTAAAAAAAAAATAAAATAAAAATAGATAACAGATAAAGCGAAAGCATAATCGTAATCTTACTATGCCAATTTTGATTTGGTGGAGGAATTGTCGCTATTCTTCAACTTGGGTCCATTTTCTTTTGATTGTTATTTTTGTTTAAAACTTTTTAGTATTGCGACTGCGTCTATGTGCATGTGTGTATTTTTCACAGTTCTTATCATGATAAAAACATAACAAGGTAAAACCATTGAGAGGCAGTCTGACGTTTGCCAACAATATAATTTTAAAATCAAAACTCAAACTCACACACACATTCTAATTTTCAGTCTCAAACAACAACAATTGTGAACAATTTAATTTTTTTATTTTCAATTTTATATGATTTTAAAATGTTGGCAAACGTCAGAACAAAATCATGGCCGACGAATTGAGAGAATGAATTTACCTTGTAATGTTTTTATCATGGTTCTTATTTTTATTTTTACTCTTTTAGTGATTTTGAGCATATATTGTAGGTTGAAGTATTCGTAGTTTGTGCTGATTTATTTTTACTTATGTAAAATCATTTATTAGAGACATTGGCGAGGCCTTTTCTTTGGCAATTACATATATATTTACATACATGCATGAAACATCGTTAATTCCCCGTTTACTTTTTCATAAAGCGGTTTCTTCGAGATAATACATATTCAATTGTCACAAGCATCTTTATTAATACTCTAATAAATTTTAAAGCTCATAATTTAAAGGTGGAAATTATTATTTAAATATGAGGGTTGCCTAATTTTAGGAATCTCGAGTTTTCAAATTTTCAAACCCAACATAGTGATTTTGACGAAAGCAGTCAAAACAAATCACAAAAACTTCACACACGCCTTAAAGCTGCTCAAATTTGCATTTCGATGCTTTTCAAAAATTAACTAAAAAAAATCGTATCACGGAGGGAAGAAATTCTAAATTTTGATTGAGTTATTAATTTGGAATTTTATTCTGGCTTATATTTTTCGAACAAAAACAGAGCTATGAATTCAGATCCAGCTATAAGAAAAGTGGTGCAAGTGGCCGAACAAGCCCAATTGCCTGTACACGGTAATGAGATTTTTGTTTCGATTAAATTTACAATTTTATATATTTTTTAAATTGAATAGTGCCTGTGGTCTTGGGCAATGAATGCTTCATCATAACACAACAGGATGTGCGTAGAATTGAGGATTCAAGAGTATTTTCTTATAATAAGATGAATGCCAAAGGTAAGTTCAAGTCTTTCTTTACATTTCATGAAGATGTCTATGTCTACCCTTTTACACGCGATGCCACGATTTTTTTTTATTGAAAGGAACTGCATTGCACTTCAGGCGTTTGTACTGACTTAAAGTATTTCGCGATTATAGATACCGCGTTTACACCGCTTACCGTCAACGCATAAGTACAGTTACGATCACTGAAATAGTAGTGCGCAGTTGTGAGATGCATTATGCCCTTGATGTCGCATACTACGTGATATTGGAAACGAATTTTTTTTTTAATTATCATTAGTGTATGATTTAACTCTATGAAAATTTTAACCATTCTACAGCTACGGTTTAATTTTTTTTAGAAGTATCCCCTGTTGTGAACGGCATTTCAGGCGAGCAGTGAAATAGTAGCGCATAACAAAAAAAATCTCAAAATTTAACTTCAATTACAAATATTTTAGTTTTTGGAATAAAAAGTAAGTTTAATGACTTGGTTTGTTATACATTTAGCCGGAATAGACAAAAACGCATTTTTGTAATTTTTAATGGTATGAAGTCTGCACCGAGGTCACGAAAAACATGAAATTACTAAAACCCTTATTAAAAATGGGGAAACCATATAAAGAATTGGAAAAAATGGGTGGATGTTCAACCACCGTGATTCGAAATACGTTAACGTATCAAAATAAACCTGAAAAACGGGGTGGTAAGCAGGAATTATCAACGAATAACATACGGCAAATTATAAAATATTCGAAGACTCGTCCCACAATGTCAGCTTTAGAAAGTTTGGATAACCTAAAGTTACCATGTAGTGTTCACACAGGAACAGTTTGTGGACGGATGAGTCAAACATTTTTATATACGGTGGTAAAGGCTCGGCAGTTCGTAAGGCGCCCCACAAATATGGAATATCATTCAAGGTACACTGCAAAGACGTTGAAGCATGGAGGCCAGTATGATGGTATGGGGATGTTTTTTTCATATCGTGGGTTGGGGTCCAATATATTGGATAAAAACTATCAAGGACCAGAATAAGTACGTAAAAACAATGAAGGATGTTATGCTTCCATTCGCTAAAGAGGAAATGCCACTCAAATGGGTACTAGAGCAGGATAACGACCCGAAGCATACAAGTAAGCTAGCAAAATTGTGGTCTCGGGACAACGGAATTGAAGTCATGGTGAAGAAGGTCGCAGATGGTTTTGTAGGGGAGAGGGTTAGGCTCCTAGCAGTGAAGAAGCGTGAAAGCTCAGAGAGATACCCGTTTACTTTCGAACACAAGTCATCAATTCTATTCCCAGCCGCCATGATCGAGCAATCGTCGGCGTAAGAGACAATCGAGACTCCCTCTGGTGGTTGAGGGAGCTTTGAAATGTAAGAGTTAAACAGTAGTGGAGGAAGGACACCATCCTATGGAACTCCCTGTTTTATTTTTCTGAGTTTGCTCGATTTGTCTCTAAACATTACCGACGAGTGTCGACCATTCAGATAACACGTAACACCGAGACCTCTATATCTTCTAGCGTGGAGTGGCTGACGGTGTTAAACGCTTTTAACAGGTCCAACGCTACTAGAATAGTTCTCTCACAGAGACGGTTGCGGTTAAGGCCACGTGTTATCTCAATGTTTATGGCGTTAAGTGCTGTTGTACTATGCTGATGCTTCGCTGGGGTCAGGGGGTTCGAGAAATACGGGAGCAGCAAGGCCTATATTGTCTTCGTTACCCGGGAAAGGAGTGTTATCGGTCGATAAGATTCTCCTTTGTTGGCTGGTTTCCCCTGTTTGAGCAGTCGGACCACTCTCTCCACCTTGCAGATGTCTGGGATGATGAGAGTGGCCATTTACAAGTTGAGGACCTTCGTTAGGTACGCCACACCCGCAGGACCCAAATTTTTCAGCATCAACATGCATATTCCGTCAGGACCCATGGCTTTGGAGGCTTTCGCCTTCTCGATGGCCACGTAAACGTTGGCAGTTTGTGCAGCCTTATGGTCACTCAACGTTTGGCTTTGTCCGCCGGAGGATGCAGTATGAACTGTCGGCTAAAATAGCTCGCGCATCGCTCCGGGCCCGACGAGGCATGGTCGCCGAAAGAAGTTCCGACCCTGTCATCGTGCTTCGTCGGATTGGTCAATGGCCTCATGGTTGACCAGAGCTACTCACACCAGAGGCGAAGTTGCAAGTCTTCAGATCCTCTTCCCACTTTTTCCGCTTATGTGCGTTCACAAGTTGCCGAATCTCCGCGTTGAGATCCCTAGTACGGGGATTTCCGGGAACGGCCTGACGAAGGTTGTCACGCTCATCGGTTAGAACAGCCGCTTCGGCAGGGAAGTTTGGGCGGGTTTCCATAATGCATCCTGCCGGTACGAGCGAGCTGCAGCAGCAGTTACAACCCTGCGGAACTTACGTTCACCAACATGGACGTCGGTTGGTGTGGGGAGCGCAGCGAAGGTGCTCAGTAAATTCCCCGAAGCCTTTGCAATCAGCTTTAGAAAAGTTGATATAGGTCCGGTGTTCCGTGGAAGCAAAGTCGTTTGGTTTATCGATCGAGATGACTATGGGCAGATGGTCTGATGCCAAAGTCAGCATAGGTCGCTATGATACGCTGTTTATCAGACCAGCGCTGACTATTGTTATGTCTGGCGAGCTGCAGCAGCTGCCCATAATCCCCGTGGGTGCGTCGTCGTTCATTGTGCAGAATATCGAATCGTCTATCTGCTCAGCCAAGTCTGTTCCCCTACGATCGTTTGACAGGCCTGAATGCCAAAGATAGTGGTGCGTTGCAATAACATATATTTGATGTAAACCGTAAGCAAATACTTCGAAGGTGTATGATTATGACCTCAGAGTCTGCTTAGAATCATACATCTTCGAAGAATTTGCTTACGGCAGAGGTGTTAAAGAATGCAAACATTTTTAACTAAATTATTCATTTGATTGAAGTCCCGAGTAGAGATGGGCACGGGCCGGGCTTTTGGCAGAAGCCCGCGGGTGAGGGCCGGAATATTTGCTGTTAGCACGAACTCGTGCGTGCATGGGCTTTCAGTAAAATTTCATAAAAACACGAATAAGCACGAAAAAACCCGTTGCTAATACTACAAATTTAGATAAGCTTTTTTTATACAAAAAAAAAAAAAATAGTACATATTAAAACTCTTTTGGTCAGAGAAAAGCAAAAAAAGAGATATTTGGAAACCGATAGAAAAAATAAGATACTTAGTAGTTTTGTTTACATATCTGTACACTCCCAGAAAATATATAATAAAAATCTTTGATGTAAAAAATTGATTCGCTTAAGTAAATATACATACCTAAACACGAAACTAAAAATATGTACGTATGTAT